CCCCTCTCCCCTCGGTGACCCCTCTCCCCTCGGTGACCCCTCACGCCTCGGTGACCCCTCACGCCTCGGTGACCCCTCTCCCCTTGGTGGCCCCTCTCCCCTCGGTGGCCCCTATCCCCTCGGTGGCCCCTCTCCCCTCAGTGACCCCTCTCCCCTCGGTGTCCCCTCTCCCCTTGGTGCCCTCTCCCCTTGGTGGACCCTCTTGCCTTGGTGTCCTGGGATCTTACGGCTCTTACGCAGCTCAGATCTGGAGAGGGAGCATGGGAAACGAAGACCTGTTTCAGGAGCCCTTAATGCTGTGCGTTGACCTGCTTGTACTCCTCACTCGGCAAACATCCCTGGGAGCCTGATGTGTGCGAGACGCCCTGGGTGTGGGGACAGAGATGGAGGAGAGGAAACCTTTGAAGTCGGCCCAGAACAGACTGGACACTGACCAGAGTCCAGCACATGACCACGTGGGGCTGACAGCACAGAAGGAAATCATAGCTGGTGGGCAGCTGGCAACTGGCCTTCCAGAAGGTTCTTTCAGGAAAGAATGTTCTGGATCCATGCACCTACACAGGGCTGGCTGGGAAGGCACTGAATCTGTGTGGGACCCAAGCAGAGAAAACCATACAGCCCCTAAATAACACCCTGGAACAGGGAACCCAAGAGTTGAACTGTGGGAGGCAGAGACAAGGAGTCAGCAGAGCCAGCCACTAGGTTTAGAAGGTCTCCTGCTGGCTGTGGCCTCCCAGCTTCTCTGACATTTGTCGTTCCCTCCCCATCCTTGTGAGCCCCACAGTGGTGACCCTGGTGCTAGAAGGCCCAGGGGAGGGATCTGGGTGATTTCCAGTTGACCAGAAGCTGGGAGTCAGCTCTGACCCTGGTGGCCCACTGGTGTCAGCTCCATGGGGTTTCCAATGGCAGAACTTCCAGAAGTTGACCACTCACCGTTTCTTCTGAGGTACCTTGGAGTGGGCTTGAACCTCCAATCTTTCAGTTACCATCTGAGCATGTTAACCATTTGCACTCACAGAGCCTCCAGATTCCTGTTAGTGATTCAAAGGCGAAGGACCAATCCTTGACACACACTAGCATATCATATCCTTGAAAATGCTCCTCCTGCTTCTTTTTCACAGTCTTATTTTTATCACCTGGTATGAAAACTTTCCATTTCTAAACAACCATTCCTGGGGTGGGATGCCCTTTATACCACAAGCCACGTACTGAGACCGGGATGGACCGCAGGGACTTGCACTCCTAACACTCCTGGAGGTTCAAGACTGCCCACACCTGCTTAGAAGAAAGGTGGGCAGCCACCTCCTGTGCAGCTCATGGTCTTGGAAACCCAGTGGGGTCAGCTATGAGCCGGTTACAACTGAGTCAGCTTGAGTTTTGTTGTTTTTTTTTTATTAATTTAGTTTGTTTTTCATTTCAATGAACATCTACAGAGATTTTGGAATTCCATTCATTCATTGTTGCACCCTTCTCCCCGCCCACCTCACCTCA